GGGCTTCAGGGTTTCAGGGTTCTGGTGGAGGAGAGGTTTAGGGTTGTAGGGTTTAGGGCTTCAGGGTTTCAGGGTTCTTGTGGGGAAGAGGTTTAGGGTTAAGGGTCCTAGGGCTTCAGGGTTTGGGGCTTTAGGCTTTTAGCAATGCAATCTAGTAGACACTAGAAGTCACCCGCCGAAGCCCAACGACTGATATCTTCCACCCAGGCCCGATATGCTCTAAGTTTCAGAGTAGTTTTAGGGGGAAAAGAATTCAGCGTTGAGGGTTTGGGTTCAGGGTTCAGAGTTAGGGATGAAGGCGCAACCGTCGATACTGCCCTAATCTCCGGAAACTCTACCACCTGAACATCCTGAACCTTAAAACCCTAAACGTCCAAGTATCTAATGTTCATATACTCTCAAAATAGCAACCTACATAATTACTATCCTAAACCCGAGTAACTCAGTATTGGGTCCTTTGGACCCATAGGGAAACCCTGAACCCTCAACCCGCCCGTCTAAGTCCATGGGAGGTGTCTGGGAGGCCACATGGGGCCTGCGTGTCCAACTGCCGTGAGCTCAGACCATTGAATGAATTAGACTCTAGAGCCCTAAGACCTAGTAACCTAGTAGTAAAGTAGGTGATCTTTAACTTTTTTGGGGTAGTATAGTCCCGATATAACCCCTATATAACCAAAAAGGTTAACCTTTAGAGTGAGACTCTAAGCCCTAAACTTGACGACCCAAAAACCACATAAACCTAAGCACGTTATAGGGATATCCCTACCTTATTGGGCTTCATTATAAGGGGGGTTTATATGGGATATCCCTATCCTATAAGTTTTGCTTATGCACTTTTTTTTTGCCCTATAAAAGGAAACCCCAGACCGCCAGCCTTGAGCCCTCGATCCTAAGAGGATCAGGCTTTGTGGGTTTAAGGGCTACGCGTAGGGTTTAGGGTTTAGGGTTAGGGCGGTTTAGGGTTTAGGGTTATAGGTATAGGCACTAAAAGGACCCTAAATCTGAGAAGAGAGAAGGACTTTCGATGCAACTTGCTCTGAGAGCGATGTCGGGCTTGCTTGTCGAGGTCTGAAAACTGTAAATACCCTGATAAATACACACATGCACACGATCATGTCCATCATGTACCCCAAGCCTAGATGCCTGAAGCACTAACCCGCTAAGCCGTAAACCGGAAGATGAGGCATGCGAGCTGCGTGCAGTAGGCGATTTGGTGGTTCCAAAGAAAGCTTTTAGGGGTTTAGGGCCGTTTAGGGTTTAAGGTGTAGGGGTTTGGGGTTTAAGGTTTAGGGTTCAGGGCTTGGGTTTCGAACGTTAATAATTTGAAATCTGATTACCCTAAGGCCCCAGAGTAGTTCCTTTTGGGGGTTCGTATATAGAATCCTATAAGGTAATCCCAAAGAGGAACTACTTTGGGGCCCATGGGTGGTTGTACGCCCTTGAACCTCCAAGTAAAGCTCAGGCCACACCTTCGTTGCAGATTGCTTGCATGAGATGCAGTGCGCCTAACAGCTCCGACTTGCTTCTGTTTTCAGCCATGGCTGTAGACCTGCATCCCAGATTCAGGGAGTTAGCACTTCCAGTAGGGGTTGGGGGTGCATTATGGCATAGTTTTTCTGCTTAAGGAAGCCCAACGAATGATTTGGGTAACTAAAATCGACTGCTGCAAACGTGCTTGGCACTCCGTTTCGCGCAAAGTACGTGTTTCCTTGGGGCGTGTACCCAGTAGCTTCGGTTGGTGTTACCCGTTCATACGGGTGGTTGTCAAATTCATGGCCCTTTTTGCGCACCCTAACTCTCCCTAACTATTAGGTGCCGTATTATTATAAGGACCCAAAAAAGGGACCATAATTTTAACACCCACCTATATGTTTTCCCCGGGCGCTTTAACTTCAACCCGGTGCAGAGCATGCCTCACATGACTTTGGAGGGCTCAGCGGGCTCAGAGTTCGTGAAACCCTGGAGCCCCAAACCCTAAAACTCCCGAGATCCGCAGGTGCCCTGATGAAATGCCATAGCAAGCCAAAGGTGTTAGGGTGCAGGCTTAATGATTCCGGGAAGGTCTCATCGTTTATGAAGCCTTAGAGTTCCAGGGTCTATAGGGGTGTTTGAATGAAGTTTCCTGAACCCCGCAGCCCCGCAGGTACGGCGGGGTTCCTTGCTGGAATTGGCTGTGGCGGGCTCAGCTTCGTGTGAATTTCTTCTTGTCAAGGAGTTTCGTTTCAGCTGCCATGATGCATCACATATGCATGTTAGGTTGCAGTGCATACCGTGGCAAGAGGCCAGAAAGGAGTGAAGGGGGGAGCTCGCAAGTCAGCCGTTGGATTTCAGGGACGCGTGAAATAGTTGAGGACTCACGTCCTCAGTCCCGCATTCCCTAAACCCTACACCCTATCAGCCCATAAACATTTTCCAACCCTATAACAGTCTACTCACGAAACCCGACAACTCCTAAACTGCGGCAGAGGGGTCCGTGGCGGTAGTAGCCGTTCATGACTCTGCAGCACCCCCCCTCGGAAGATGCAGTGAAGCCCAAGCTTTGAGCCGGACGGAGCTTTCGTTCCTAAAACAGTTAAAATAGAAGTACATGGCAATGTGCATAGCTCAAAGACTCAAAGTTTAGGCGTATTGGGTCTGCCGGCTAATCCTGCAACTTGTAGCAGTGGCAACGACCCGAGGTCTTACGTCTTGGCCATTTGGCTCTTTATCTTCGCTGTCGCCTCAGATTCTTCGGAGCCCTGAGATTCTGGGGGTGCCTGGGGTTTTAGTGAGGATGCGCGCGATACTTTCCTCACCTTGCGCCCTGAACCTCAAAGGACAAATTCAAAAGCCTGACTGAAGAATCGCTGTGACGCCGGGGTGGCCTCGAAATCTGAGATGACCTTTACTTTATGAAAAGAGCATTAGACCTGACGCCACCTAAATGGAAAGGCCCACACGGAAATCCCCAAAACCATAGGAAAGCACAACAACGCTGAACCGCAAACCCGCACCCTTATCCCCAAAGCCACAGCACCCTAAAAGCCACAACCTCGAATTGCAAAGAGAGCTTACAACGAGACAGCTCTGGATGTGCTGCTGTACGCAACAACAGGCGCAAGAAGGGCAACGAGAATTGTAAGCATGACGACAACACTACTGGTACTAGCAGAAGCAGGTAGGAGGATGATAACAGCAGCACTGAGACTAACCGTCACTTGAAGAAGATCTCGCAACGGCAGCCGCAGTAGGAAGCATATTCGTACTTCTGCCAATACGAGAAGTACTACAGCACAGTGCGATATTGAGAGACAAGGATCTGGATACCTAAGCTGTGAAGCCCTCCTTCCAGACCCGTGCCTGGCAGGGGCACTTCACTACGTTCCCACGGACGGCTGCGGGATGCTGAGCTCACCTCTGATCTGGGTCTGTATAGCAGTAGTTAAGGGTGTGGAAGCCGGCTAGCATTGTGATTCCCGAGATCTGGCACCAAGGGTTTGCTAGCTGAGAAACGAGGACAATTGCTAGGTGCCAGGACCTAGGACTTTTGGGCATACGGTATGGCGCGCAAGGGTTTTTCATGGACCGAAAGGTCAAAACCCAAGGTTCCGCCTCATTCCCAACATGGGAACACCATACCGTCGTTTGTAGCATGCAGGATGTTGTAGCGCAATCCCTTTGCAACCCCATAACTTGTTCCTTCAGGACATGGCCGATTCAATGAACGCACCCACCGACTCCTCCCCTAAAGCTTGAGGCGAACTCAAGAATCGGCATCTCTGACATCCTTGTACAACATGTGTGGGGGTGACATCAGCATTCCCAGTCATCGTGAGCAAGAAGACTTGCTCTACCTGCCAGTCTGCACACAACGCCTTTCACCACTTTAGCCAACAAGCACGGTAGGGGCTACGCATGGGGCTTCAGCAAGTTTAGTGGTAGGAATCCTTAAAGTAACTCCAGTGCAGTGCGCTGGCGTAGTCAGGGGATGTCAGGGGGGTACATGAATACACCGAAGTTGAGACCGGATACCTTGAAATTTTTCAGATTCCTCTTGCAGCCACTTGGGCTCACACTAGCAGATGGCACAGCTGAGAGAGTACAGGTTCATCCTAGTAGTAGAGTAGGCAACCTTTAACCTTTTTTGGGTAGTATACTCCCTATATAATCCCTGTATACCCAAAACGGTTATCTTTTAGTTCCCCATGATACCCGACAAGTAGGTCATGCTGGGGCACTGAGACCCTGGCCAGTGGCCATGGGTACCTAGGAGGAGGTTCAAAGGTTAGGGTTTGTACATCGAGAGAAACCAAACCCCAATCCAAACCCTAAAGTAAAAGCCAGAAAGTTGGAATATGATTATCCTAAACCCTTTATGGTAAATTACAAGGTATCCTACCCTGAAACCATATTCCAACTTTCTGGAGTTCCCTTTAAACCCTAAACTAAACCGGAGTGCCACCACAACGAGCTCAACCCCTAAGTTCGGGCGGTCAGGCCAGAACAACATGAATTTCAGCCACAGGCAAAAGGCATGGACCATTCCCCAAAGCCTCGAGCCCATGGAATCCACAATTCACAATATCCGGACCCGAAAAGTTTGACGGTTTAAAGGGTGGGGCTCTTTGTTAGCGCCTCCTAAACCCTAAACCCTAAACCCTAAACCCTAAACCCAAAATGGCTACGGCTCAAGCCGTCTGGCCCGAAAACATATTTGTGACTTACCATCGTCCCTTCCGTCCTCTCCTTCGATCCATCTTGCTCATTGTGATCGGGCGGCCAGAACTTCGTCCTCGGGGGTGTCCTCGACTTGTTCTGTGAAGCAGGGCGACATCGTGATCGGGCGGCCAGTCCGTCTTGCTGGAGGGCATCTTCCTGGGTCTCTGGTCTGCTCTGGGGGACTTTGGGTGGTTGGCACGCTGGGTGATTCCTCTGGTGAGTGCTTTCTGGGGTGATCTTCGTCGGCGACTTCTGCTCCTTCTTCTCTGTTCTGCTTCCCTGGCGTCTTCGTCCTGGTTGGGATGGCGGAAGCAATGCCCATCGACCTGGGATCCCCCACGGAGATTGCCGAGGGTACTGATGAGGAGCTGGAACCCAAGCTCGAAAAGCGTAAACGGGAGGATCGTGATGCCAAGAAGGCTCGTGCTGATGGTGCTGCCAAGTCGGTCCCCGATGATTCGGACGAGGAGTTCGATAGTCCATCGAAAAGGGCGTCGACGTCTGATGACCGGCCCCTCACAGCTAGTCTTCTTCGGGATCTTCTTTTGGAGCATCGCAAGGACATGCAGGACACGTGGCGTTCATTCGAGCACCGCATCGGCAAGGTCGAAACCCAACAAAAGAACCAGGTCGGAGAAATCAGCTCTTTGTCGGGGCGTGTCAAAATCAACGAGAAGGACGTCGCGGTCGTGAAGAAGAACCAGCAAACGAATGACAAGAAAGTCGAGAAACTCGTCGAGGATGTGGCGAACCTCAAAGTCCAGCTTGAGGGTGTTCAGCAGTCCGTCGGCGAAGTCAAGGGTGATGCCAAGATGGACGTGGGTGGTGGTGCTCTGGGGGGAGTTGATCCGTGGGCTGATTACCTGAGAACGAAGAGGCCTCCTTTCTCTGGTGGGCATCCTGTACCATCTGGCAATCCAGCTGGGTCGAATTTGGGGTCGGGACCTGGGGCGAGTTTGGATCATGCTGACGGCCTCAGTGAGGAAGATCGCCGCACGTTGATTATTGGCGGGTGGATGCAGGACACTCGCAGGGCGACCATCGAGGAGGAGTCCCAGGCCTTGCTTCAGCACCCGGAAATTCGTCCCCTCCTTGACAGTGAGAAGCTCGCCATTTATGGTCCCCGGAGAAGTGTGGGCATGTTGCGGTTTTCCCTTCGTGAGGGAGAGAAAGGGCTCGAAGAGGTCAAAAGCCGTATGTGGCAAGTGGTCAAAAAGACTGCCGCTCTCAAGTTGAATCTTGCCAGTGCCAGGGACTTGGGTGAGGATCGTACGATGTGGGCGGCATTCGTGAAGACTAAGACGGCCAGAGTTCGTTCAGCACATATCAGCCTTGTTCGGAGAGTCTGCATCTCCCTTGCCTCTGATTCCAAAAACGATGCTGGGGCGGTCCTCAACCTTGAGCATGCCCAAATCGCCTCATATGATATGGATTGGGGGGCGGGCACAATATGGTGCGGAATCCACAAGCTCGCCTCTTCAACCCACAGAAGCCCGAAAGATGCCGAGACCATCCTCATGACGGGGGGGTGGATTAACCTTGACGCCATTGGCTTGATCGCAGGCTGCTCGGTTGACGTCGCCAAGGCGGCGTTTGAGAAAGAGCTGTGAACGAAGGTGGATGATGTGTTCACCCCTCCTTTGGAAGGAGGGACGAATTTGGATCTTGGGGCGAACTTCACTCAGGATTCAGTGCATGAGCGTGACCAGTCTAAGACTCGTCGCCAGCGTGTTCCCGTCAAGTGTGAAAGACACAGATGGGGACGTGTTGGTCAGTGGAATCTAGCAGGACAGAAAATTGACTTGCTGGATGTTGCGGGAAGAGATTTGGACATGATCTTCGTACAGGAGATTGCTCGTGATGAGATGGGTTGGAATGAAGAGAATTCTGAGCACTTCCATTGGGTGACTTTCCGTTCGGCTTCTCTCTATCGTGGGGTGGGCATTGGCATTGCGAATGACAAGCTCGACTGTATCATTCAGAAAACTTCTTCCTCGCGGGGTATGTGGGTCTTGGCGAGAATACGAGGCTTGGGGAGAGTTGCACTTGGGTCCATGCATTGTCATACGGGGGCCACCAATGCAATTTTCCAAGCAGCAGTACAAAGCTTCGTCCAGACATGTCCTAGAAAGTGGAGACAGTACCCTGCGATCTGTGGCATCGACGTCAACGAGGAGCTACACTGGGCTCATGAAGACGACGACGTTGATCATAACAAGGGCGTCCTCACCTGTGGGGCGGCTAATCTCAATGAATTGGTGCATCAAATGTTGCAGATTGGCCTTTCAGCTGTTGCTCCCCGACATGCCCAATGGTTGACACCCTCGCACTTTCCGAGAGATGATACGAGAAGAGGAAGACAAATTGATGCATTGTGGTGTCGGCAGATTGGTGGAAGTGATGTCTCAATTGATACAGATCGCAGACATGTCATTGGCTCTGATCATGGACTCGTTCATTTTGACGTTTTCACGACTACGAAATCTGTGAACCGTTGGGGTAATGATTCTCGTCCTAGGTATGTATGTCGAGACCTCCCGGATGCCACGATCTGTGATGCAGATGATCTCGCTGAGCTTGCTAAGACATCGACGGCGCCTAGGTTCTCCACTTCGTACAAAGATAGTGATGAGATTAAGAGCCTTTGCAGACAAGCTCGTGTGTCGAATGACAAGAAGATTTGGAAAAAGGTACACAAGCTTCGTCGGAGTGATCGTCGTGAATGGGAGAAACAACGTCTCGCCAAAATTCTTCATGGGGACTGGGATCAATATCGGTGCTTGCAACGGGAAAAGAAGACGAGGAAGGGATGGTGGGGGCGCATGCTCGAAAATCGCTCCTCGCTCGAGAACACGAACCTCGTCAAGCAACACCTTGAATCCAAGCTTGTGAACGAGTATGGGAAGGACTGGGACGAGCTCTTGCAGATGCAGATTGACTCCATACCTGTCCGGGGCGAGTTTGTTGACTTCACTGCGATCGAAGTGCGCACGGTCCTGCAGCAGATGAAAGCCAATAGTGCAGTCGGACCGGATGGCATCGGGGTCTCCTTCTTGCGAGCTGCTATGAGTCATGACATCATCATGCCTCAGTTGCTTTCCCTCATCAACCACATTATAAAGACCCTCGAGCTGCCCGCAAAATGGGAGGAGAACTTCCTGGCGTTGCTAGCCAAATGTGACATCCCGGAAAAACCTGGAGACTTGAGGCCGATCTGCGTCAGCTCGGTGTTCCACAAACTTGTGACGAAACTCGTCTGTGCTCGCTCCATGCCCTCGCTGAGAAGTGGTTCGAGATTGTCGGGATGTGGAAAGGGCCGCCAGGCTGCTGACATCATTGGGACAGTTAGCCGTCTTCGGGATGTTACACATGAATGGAAATTACCCGTTCTTCTGTGCAAGCTTGACATCTCTGGCGCCTTCGATAAGCTGGACAGGCAACGTGTGGTCGAATTCCTGAAGGGGCGACTTGCCGACAAGGACCTTGACCATGAACTCAGATATCTGTTGATGCAATTGCAGACATATGCGTTGCGTGGCCGGGTCCCTGGCGGGCACGACATTGAGGTGAGACCCAATATTGGCATTAAACAGGGGGCGCCTGAGTCGGCCGAGGTTTTCGGGCTCGTCATGGATGCTCTGCTGATGAAGCTGACCTCCCATGCCAAGTGGAAAGATTTTGGTCTTCCGCTTCCAGGGCTCGACATCACACTGATCTTCTATCAGGATGACATCTTTGTCGTTGAGTCTGAATTGGTCAGGCTGGGACGTCGTATTAAAGTCCTGGAACGAACACTCGCTCAATACGGCCTCAAACTTGCAGCAGAGAAGACCAAAATCATAGCCTCTTCTGCTTACCGCGGACCGAGAAAGATCAAAATCGGGGAGACGCTGCTCTCAATTGCGCCATCTGGAGATTCAGTGAAAGTGCTTGGGATCTCCTTCAACCTACAAGACTCCCCGTCTCAACAGGCTAAGGAGATCCTACAACGCACTCGCACTGCCGCTGCAGTACATGGGCCCCTCTTGCGTGGTCGTGCTAATTGGCACAAGAAAGCAAGTATGATCACCACGCTAGTTGAGTCGCAATTCGCTTGGACCGGGGGTGCACTTCATTGGAGTCAGTCTGACCTCAAACAGGCCAATACTATGCAACTGCAGATTCTCCGCAGCGCTTTCCGGATCCATCGCCTACCAAATGAGAGCTGGCTTGAATGGAATACCAGGAGTATGCGCTTGTGCAGGGCGTGGCTGGCCAATAGTGGAAGATCAAGATGGTCTACCACCCTGCTCCGCCTCCAACACACACTGCTTGGACATTGGGCCAGGATGAAAGAAGAACTTGATGATGGAAGATGTCTCAGAAGCTTGCCTATGAGGGCGATGTTGTGGAGATGCACCAGATGGTGGCGAGAACAACAATCTCTTAGTAGACATGTAGGCGAACGTCACCCCGCCCGTTTTTATGTTTCCAATGTCGAGCGTCAACTTTCTGATGCGCACGGACCCCTGTGGGACTCCGCAGCTCAGCATCGTGACAACTGGGCCCAGCTCAGACCTGAGTACATTGCAGTGTGGGACGTGAAATGGACGAGGGATCGCCAGCTTGCTCTTCGGTGGTAGTGAAGCCCGTTTTCTTGGGGTTTTCCTTGGTTCCTTGTGTGACGTCTTCCTCTCTGGGGTGGATGGAGTTTGGGATCGTGAAAACCTGGAAGTTGTCATCGGGCAATTCTCTTCTGCCTTCTCACTTGTCTGTCATGCACATTGCTGGCTGCGAAACCTCCAAACTTGCATCAAGATGTTCGAATGTATTTGATCGCGAACTCCATTTCAGATGTCGATGCTTCTCATCATTCTCTACCACGAAGACCCTTTTGCGACTGTGAATGCTGTGACTTTTGGCACACACCGTAGCCCCTCGGCTCCCAAGGCGAACTGCAACTTCACCGTTTGCCTCCCTGTCTTTGCCTGCAAGCATGGCCGCTGCTCGCTCCTGGCGCTTTGTCTGGGTGCTGCTGACCCTGCTTGCCTCCTTCCACAGACTTCTTCTACATGATCACGGGATGAGCCTGAGCATGAACCCTGACCTCGAACCTGGTCTCGGTGAAGGAGCATATGGGGACACTATGTGGTCTTCTTTGTCGACCTTCGGGACAACGTGTACATCGAGCACCTCGTCGGGGAGTCTGCCTACCACTACCTGCAGGTGTCGTTTTAGGACTTACAGTTCAACAAGCACAACGTCGAGTACACATGGTTCCTCATCCTCCTCCTCCTCCTCTTCTACTTCGTGCGCGATAAGTGGATCTGCGATGGGTGTTTTGTGCAACAACTCTGACTTTGAGTTGTCCGGGGCGAGCTTTACGAGCCAGCTGACCCTCGTCCTCGGTTCTGGAACATCTTGCACATCGGTGGCATCATGGGCGACCATGTGTACGAGCTCTTCAACGACTTCTACGAGTTGGGCATCTTCGACAGCGACATCCTCTTCCTCAAGTTGCCCTGGGACCTCGTCGACCAGACCCTGGACATATGAGGAGGTTGTGATGTATTCTGCACAGGCCTGGGGCGACATCCAGTGGGACACTGAGCCTTTCTCGGAGACGGCCTGGGACACAAACATCAGTATTGCAATCCAGGCTGATGAGTTCCATGGTGAAGATCTTCCTCAGACTGGGATGATGACGGGGAGTGGCCCGCCACCTGAGGATCTCCCTGTTCCCTTTCTTGTGTCAGAGGAGGGGCGTCCTGCCTCGTCTTCGGAGGAAGGTCCGCGGTCGTCTACTTCCTCCTGGTGGGAGGCCGTGCGTGATCGAAGGTCGTTGCGAGGAAGAGCACCTACAAACCCTGTACCAGCCGAAGCCCCGGCAGAACCTGATGCGCCTACGGTGAACACCATGGATGAAGGCCCTGCCGTCACTCAACGTTTCGGGGTTGTGCGCGCGGGAACAGACCGCTGGCATCACCCGAATGGGGCAGTGAAGAATCGCCGGCGTGAGCGGCTGGCAGCGGAAAGTGATGAACTCAATGGACAAGCTGCGGACTCGCACAACCATTCCGGGACAGACACAAGTGCTGCATCCACTTTGCCTGCAGAACCATTCACACTTCAAGGATGGGGCCAACACCCTGAGGGACCAGTGGTTGATGCCGTCACTTTCTATGGTGAAGGGTTTCAGGTATGGGCATCCGGCAACATGATTGCTGGCGATGCCGAAGCAAATGTCACCACCACAGCCGGAAATGACAGCTCTAGTGGAGCGGCCGCAGACACGGAGGACGCCAGCTCCTCCTCGGACACACCGAATGCCCGAGGCTTCTATCGACATGGAGTATGGCACGAACGTGAACGTACTCCGGAAGAACAACGAGCGCATGTCGGAGGAGGTGGACTACAACGCACACGAAAACGACAAGAGAGACTTGATCAATATTTCCGTGGACTTTGGAGGCCGGCCTGGCTGGTTAACTATAGACGGGACAGAGATGCTCGGAATGCACTTCCGCAGGTCCAGGAAAACACATGTGAACATCCTGACGATGAAGGAGATGATGGTGTTGCCCCCGAGCCGGACAAGCCCGTTGCAGATGGTTTGGAGGAAAATTGGAGTGCACATCAAGGACCAAACGACCACACAAGCGAGAACTGGAACTGGGGGTGGACTCAAACCTGGGATGAACATGGGAATTGGTGGGCCTCCTCGTCTTCTTCGTGGCATGACACTGGATATGATGCATGGTCGTGGAGACGCTGGACTACAACCTCGACTACCTCCTCGGCGTATATGGAAGAGTCATCCTGGACCTCACCAACCACGACTTCCTCAACTACGCAGTTCGATGACTTGGACATGGTCACGAAGTCGCTGAGCTTGATAAGCCTTGCAGATGGACCAGGTCGAAAGACATCAATGTGTGAGCAAGGGAATTGGAGCCACCATACAAATGACACGACCTTGCTGGAAGACTTCTCGCCTTTTCCCGATGCATGGGGGGCGAAGTTTGAGATCGCCATCACCAGCACTACGTCGTCAAGCACCTTTGTGGTCCCAAATCATGGCCTCTTTCCCGATGTACGGCCCGTTCACCTTCCTCTTGGAGACGCTGGCGATGTAGGTTTGATGCGCATTACAAATGCGGAAATCGCCTTCCTGGAGGAGAGCGGGGTCACACGAGGCATTGTTCGCAGAGTCTCTGATCTGCTGGACACCCTGGACAACGAGCAAGTACGAGGAAGTGGGCCTGAAGCAAGATGGTCAATGGCGAGGCTCTTACAGCGAGTGGAAGAAGCAGAGATTGCGATGGAAGCCATTCTTCGCGTCCTTCACCGTCGGCTTCGACCGCGAGGAGTATTACCAGTTCAACGAGTACCTCGACAAGAAAGTGAACGATGGCGAAGGTTCATGTGGGGTCGACAATATGCCAACATTTTCCGAGAGAATTTGGAGGCCCACATGATGGCAAGTCTCCAACCAGGAGAAAGTGAAGGCATTGTTGGAGCGTCCCCATCGAGTGAAGCTGGAATGTCTGAAGATATGGGGAACGGTGACGGAGTGGAGCGCAGACCAACTTCCAGGAGCCGTTCGAGAAGCAGATCCTCGGTCGCCTCTGTCTGGGATAGTGAGTTCGCCTTCGGGTCTGATGGGGAGTTGGTGCAAGTCCCTGTCGCCGACCCCGATGCTCCTCTAAATGGGCCACCACCACCTGCACCTGTGCATCAGCCTCAGGAAACTGACGCGGCCTCTGCATCCTCGAGCTCAGACACACCGCCTTGTACAGTGACAGGACTGGTTAGTTTGGAACCAGTGGGCATCTGGGCCGAACCACCACTAGAAGAACCTCATGAAGTAACGCCATCCTCTTCATCCACGACCACGACAACGTTGCAGTATGACGTGCCCTACCTGGAGGATGAGATGATGTTGGATTGGACAACCTTGACACTCACCTCGACAGGGGCGACATGCTGGATGCTGACTGGATTGGGGGGGACATGCTCTTCCACGTCCACGACCTCGACTACCAGTACACTGGTGTGGCCTGCCGACCATGTCAGAGATGCGGTGAATACTAACCTCATCCACGGGGGCATAGCGGACGTGGTGCAGTTCATCCAGTTGCTGTTAGAACACCAACGTCGACTACGACACCAAGATCGTCTTGTTTCAGAGGCAATCACGGAGGCTCTTCACTGGATTCCCTGCTCCCTATCTGCTGTCCCTATGAATGCAGCAGCTTGGCACCAGGCGGTTTTGCAGGTCGTGGCACGTGAAACTGCTTTTGGATCGGGTCCCTCTGCCCATCCGGCGAACAACGTGGTCAATGAGCCCTCCGTGCTCCTACAGCCTGGCTTCCCTACATCACTGGACGAGATGGCCAATATGTTCCCTGGAGTTGCAGAACATACGATCCAGGGGTACAGGAGGAGAGCTTGGCGTACAGCGATTGCCAGTCTTTTTCGTGACGTTGACCGAGAACCTCCGCGAGGATCATGGCCATCGGAAGACGACGATACACTTCATATCATCCAGGTTGATGAAGATAGGCCCATTCCCAACTGGCCTGAGTCGGTGGATCGGCCACGTCACCCACTTCGCAGTGAAGAGGGTCTATCTGGCCGACGTCGACATCATCGTCCTCGTCCTCGCCCGCGTCTTGGTCAACCTCAAGGATGGCGCCCTGATCGTGATGACCCAGAAGTTCGTGCTGCTCGTCGACATCGCCGACGTGTGAGTGAACCTTCTGAACCCCGCCGTGCGCGACCTGGCCGTCGAGGGAACAGTGAGCAGGATCGCAGTCGCAGTAGAGATGACGAGGAGAATGGTGACATGTGAGAGAATGCTTTTAAGAGGTGGATCTGCTGATCGTATGTGTCAGTGGTCATCCATCCTTTTATAGTGTAAGCCCCTTGTGAGGCAGGCCGACTCTGCTGCATCGCACAGAAAGAAGCCACTGCACTTTAAAAAAAAAAAAAAAACCCTAAACCCTAAACCCTAAACCTTACTATATGTCGAGAAACTAAACCCTATGCCCGAAGACTCCAAGAAAGCCTTAAGTCCCCAAAGCCCTAAAATCCTAAACCCTGTTGACTAGTTTTTGTTCATAAAAAGCCCAAGAGAATATTAAGATATAAAACCCAAGAGAATATTAAGATATTATGTTTAGCATGGTTCTAACGGGAGTTTAGCTTAAGTCTACAGCCGCTCATGAAGCAGCTTTCTGTCGACGGCATCGCTGGGCCCATTTGCACAGCCCGGGGCTTGGCTAGAACAGGCTGAATGGACACACCTTATTGGGGCAGATAAACGCCCCCACCATACTTTCAATTTTGAAGGTGAGTTTAGTCAGGTTACTCAGACCCTCGGCACATGAGGACTTCCTAAGTTGAGGCAGGTTAATGGTTTAGGGTTTTGGTGGGCCCTACCGGCAAGGACTCGGTTCGTGTAGGCTTCACATTGCGGTATCTTTGGATCTAAATAGTGCTCATGTTGTGGACATTATCACATTGTGGTTGTTGCGGCCCATTAGCACATGCCGGGTGTGGCTCAAAATGGCGCTTTTCGATAACAGGAACTCCTTTTCGGTGGACCCCTTTCTGGATCCTACTACAGGGATCTACTTTCAGCTTCCCTCCGTTGGCAAACTCCCACATCATCAACCCCAGCTGCTGGGCTCCCTCGCATCATCACCCTACGCCTCCCTCGAGGTCGCAGTGGAAGATTTCTGGACAGTGCGAAAGTTGAAGGACGTCAACTGCTGTAGCTGGGTGTTAGAACTTGAGGGCTTAGGCCCAAACACCGTTAAGTTAGGTTCAGGGTTTCGGGTTTTGGACGCCTCCAACTTCAGGGTTCTGGGGCTACAGGGTTTGGAGGCACAGGGTTTCAGTGCTGTAGGGTTTTGCTTCAAAGCTTTCTATAGGTCTTGGGATTCTAGGGCCTGGCTCTTTAGTTGGGATCTCGCTTTGGCAACCAGTGTACCCAGGGAGTCGAATACCGCCTGGTTCAGACAGTCCTTAAGTCTATTGATTTTGTTATCGTTTGACAAGGGCAGGGGCTGCTGAAAGTTTCACTAGGCTGTTCAAACGGCAGAAGTGGTTCAGGCAGAAGCATAGCTTGATTTCTCAAGTTCGCGCCATGTGGGGCTAACAAGAATGTGGTTCACGACCTGGTGTGGGGGGACAGCGGATTGGTTCTTATACTTGCTTGCTGTAATATAGTCCTCTGAATTAGGTCCCTTTTATCGATCCCCAAGATACTACGGCACCCGTACAAAGGACCCTAATTCAAAAAATATCGCCCTCATAACGACCTATTTAGAAACAAGCCAGTATAGATCCCTCTACGGAGCCTTATAAGGGATAGTTTTCCTGAACCTTTCGTAATTTTGGGTTCCACGCCTTACGCAGGAAGCCATCGAGCAGGAGAGCGGCATTGGCAAAGAGGAGCAGCAACTTCTCGCAGGCCCGGAAGCCCAAGCCCCGAACCTTGAACCCTAAGGGTTTAGGGTTTCGGGTAAGCCCTGCACCCTCAACCCTGAACCTTAAACTCTAAACTCAAAGCCCTGAACCCCAAACCCTAAACTCGAAAGCCCTAAACCCTGATCTCATAAACCGGTGACCCGGATCCGGGAGCCCCAAACCCTGATCCCCTAATCCTGAGCAAAGAACTCCGCACCCATGCTTGTTGCAGAGATTTCAGTTCATAACCTAAAGCCACCTGAAGCATCAGAAAAGCTTAGGGATCGATTCTATTCTGTTGTGCAACAGGACATGCCAAATTTCAACCTTCCATCTTCCAGCCCTGAACAAACTAAGGGCAATCAGATTGCATACTACTGAATACGGTGTCCTGAGTAGTTAGCAACTCTGGACCCTAGGGTTTCCAAAAATAGCTGCTGTCCCCCACACCCTACACGTCAGACCTGCTTCTTTGGGTTTAGCCGTGAGGAGATTGCTTCGGGGTGTCGTCGAAAGGCCTTGCAACTGCTCCTCCTGCAGGAAACCCGAAGTCCTACAGACCAGAGCGCTATACCCTTCAAACCTGAACCCGTTCTTCGCATCTTCCGAAGCCTGCCGAGCTTTGAAACCAGGTTCGGTCCTTGAGACAGCACCTAACAATGAGAGTTCGTAGGATTTGGGGATACTGTGAAATGCGATGATTTTGGGCCTTTCAGTCGGCCGTACAACCACCCTTTAATGCACAATAGCTGACAACGCTGAGCAGAAGACAATCAAAGACAATGCCATGAGTAGCAACCAGATATCCGCACATAAACGAATTAACATCTTATCAGCAACACAAAACCGTAATACCAGGAATGACTACAAGTGTCAGAACTGGTGTACGCTTTCGTCCTAGGCCGAGACTACTCTACAATTCGAGAAAATATGCCGCAATGAACAGATATGCGGCTCTCGGAGCAATTCTGGGAGGTTGTGCTGAACTTCGCGATGATGCCTCGCTGGAGGACGCCTCGGAGGTGGATCAACTTGCTCGAACCCCAAACCCCGTATATAATCAAGAAAGAATCAGTGATTTAGGGATCCTTATGCTGTGACGAAGCCCCATGGTTAAGGAGTCCGACGGACCCCCAAACCTGAAAGCCCTTACCTCCAAGCTGTAAATGTTGAGGCACATTGCTACTTGTGGGTCTAGGGGTGCTGGGTTTTGATGGAGGTACACCCTGAACCCTAAACGCCAAACCCCAAAGCGTGCACCCTGAACCCTAAAGCCTGTAAGGCTTTGGAGGATCCCATGAGGGCTTGGGGGCGCTGTAGGAGTTTACGGTTTACAGGGCTTGGAGGTTAAGGGATTAGGGTATAGGGATCAGGGTTTAGAGGGTTTAGGTTTTAGTGGGTTTAGGGTTTTTGTCCCAAATCCCTCAACACCATTGACCTGAGCCCCTAGACCCAAACCGTGGAGCCCTAAGACAGCACTTCAATCCTTAGGATCTGCGACAGCGTGTAAACCGCGCTTGGGCTTTCCAAGATTACCATACGAATGCGGGGCTCCGACAAGGGTTCTATACGGTTTTCAAAAGGAATTATAGTTTGCGTGCTCCTGTGTGTCTGCAAAGGTGACTCCAAAAACATGTAGTCGAGGTGTATTCGGTAAAGTAGGCCGGGGATTTCTATTGTGATGTAAGGAACTCTACTCCTCGATGATGCTTTTTGGAGTTTTTAAGATTGATTTAAGATTGGCGTTGTGCTGCTAGTGCCTGTTGCGCAGATAGTAACAACAGGAGGAATACCGGTACAGCTGAAGGCTTGGTACTCCAAACCCTCAACTGAAAACAACCGAATCCCTGAAGCCCAAGGGAGATCCTAGAACCTCAACCCTGGAACGCTCAACTCTGAAAGAGCCTACACCCTGCGCTTGCTAGGCTGTTAATGAGAATCGTCGAACCTACTTCTGCAGACCTTGCCAGGCTTTGTCCGAGAGTGAGTGTCAAAAACACCCTCAACGCTAAACTGTTTAGAAAGTCAAGGGGCAAAAGGAGGGACCCCTAATAAGGACCTAGGTATATACCCATAATATGGCCTTTATATACCCATTATATAGCCCATTATAGGGTAGGGGTCCCCATTCAGGGTCCCTCATTTCCCTGTTGAGAGAAGGAAGGAGCGAACCTAAACTTTCCATTCCCCAGAGAGCCCAATATCCCTTAATTAGGGAATATAGCTTAAATCATAATATGAAGCCCCTAATAATTGAAGGTCTATTCCTTAATTAAATCATAATATGAAGCCCCTAATAATTTAAGGTATATCCCTTAATAAGGGAATATTCCTTAAATCATAATATGAAGCCCCTAATAATTTTAAGGTCTATTCCTTAATTAAAGGGTATTGGGCTCTCTGGGTCACTGGGCTGGCGAAGGTGACGCTGCTGCGTCGCAGTCCCGAGAAGGCGGGCTTTGCTTTCGATAAGGTCTTGAATAATTAGCCTAGGACCCAGAGTAGGCCCTTATTCCCTTTTTTGAGGCTTAGGTTCCCTTATAAGCCCCTTTAAACCAAAAAGGGCACCCTTTTTATTCCCAGGTTACTCTTAGGTCTAGTAGCAAAGTTGTCCCCGAAACAGCTATAGAATACTACCCGGAAACTTCATACTCCGATTGCTCAAGCTCTTGCACCAGAGTATTGAGGGGTTGAAGGCCTAAGTTTCGGTTGGTTTTAGTTTGGGGGTGCGGGGTGTAAGGGTTTAAGGTTCAAGGGTTAGGGATGCAAGGCTTGGGAATTAGGTTGATTTTGGCTTTTCGGTGTGTGTGGCTTGAGCTTATGTCGGTTCCGAGTTCGGGGTTTGGGTGTTGAGGCTCAATTAGGGAATTGAGGGTTGTGGTTTGGGGTTTAGGATATCGGGTTTGCCCTAACCTACAAAAACCTATAGTTTGTAGGGCCCCTCTAGATTCCGTGCTAGGGTTGATAACGGGAGCCTACAAAGGAAGTAGGTTATGGGAGTAAGGTAGTTCAAGGTGGATACTACGAAACCCCCAGTCCCCAGCCTTGATACACAGGTTTAGCAACCATATCACGATATAGCCTTAAACCCTAAAACGCAAACCCTAAGCTTAAAAACCCTGAACCCTAACTTAAAACCAGGTCCATGTGAGTTCAACAAAAACTCAATCCTTTTGATTTGTGTGGTTTGCAAGACACCACGCGTACTACTCACAACATCCAACATCCTCCAAAGCAACCTTGCGAGTAGGCATAGATCCTTGCAATGCGAGAGGGAAAAAACCCTGAAGCCCTAAACCCCCATAATTTCGTCCTAGCAGGGCGAGAGGGGAAGAAGCGAAGCGCCTGAACTGGAACCTAAACGAAAGCTCGATCCTCAGCTTCATCTAGGGGCCTTGACAATTACCTATTACTGTTTTGGGGTCCTCATTATAGTTATAGTGAAATATACCCTAAAGCCCCATTGCAATTATTAAGGCCACTATGTACGTTAATGAGGTGGATCTTCTGCGCAGCATAGACACCTGCGAGGGGCAGAAGGCGCCCTTACATCGTCTTCTCCGATTCCTGTTTCCGGGCCGGTGTTGGTACCTGAGCTCTTGTTACCGAGCTTACTTTTGCAAGTGACGACTACTGACGGGCTATAATAGTTTTAATTCTTGCTTTGCCTTGTTATGTCAAGAACCCTTTAAGCAGCACAAACCCTTTGATTCACCGCATCTTTCAATCTCATTTGCTGAGGGACAGGACCTAAAATCTAAAACCCAACAGTCTACACTCTTGAACGTTCAACAACGACCTTTGAAACCACGCAATCTCCAAGACCCGTTCGACCCCAAAGGAAAAAAATTGATTTTGGACCGCGGAGACAAAAGCAAGATAGCCAAACTTCAATCATCAAGACATATGCGTTAGATTTCTGACAGTATCGTAATGATCCTCAGCGCAGGGATCTCTATGACGCTATAGTGCCTGGACTTAACCCCACAAAGCCCTTTCAAAGCCTTGCTTAGTTCCCTCATGAAGCCCAGTAAAACCCTATAAAGTCCTTATAAACCCCCTGCCAAGTGGAATATTGAAAATTGAGTAGATTCAGCAAGTTGGTGCTATTCCTTGGAGCTGCTTAGTGCAATTAAGGTATAGCATACCACGAAACCCTGTAAGGCAAGGCCCGTGTAAAATTCATAAAGCACTTACAGCAGCCCTTAACATACCAGGACTTCAACGAGCTTATTCTAACCATTAAGGTCCCGATACTAAAACCCTATAGACCTCCTTATAGAAGCCTCGCAGAAGGCCGTTTCGGAACCCCAGTGCGAAACAGCTGTTGCAGCCTCTGTGTGAAATGCCACAAAACCTTCGCAATCCCTGGTGGAATCCTTGAGAACCTTATAAAAGACTGAAACCTACTCTAAGCTTCTATACCAAAGGCTTCTAGAACCCTTCGAACCACATAAAAAAAGTGTATTCTATTTATTCAGGCCTTAACCCCTAAACCCTAACTATTAAGGCCCCTACACTAAACCCCTTATAGTGACCTTTACAGAACCCCAAAAGGCCCCCATACTTGGAGGATCATGAGACTTAGTAAGTAAGGTTATAAGTACCTTAATTGGTGTTATAAGTATAGTTACCTTACTTATAACCCTAGTTACTAAGTCCCATGATCCTTTAAGTACTAGGTGCTCTTCCTCCTGCGCACTGCACCTAGCATCCTCCGATCGGATCGCGAGGCCGAACGTAACGCAGAACCCCTGAGATTGTCTTAGGGGTACTTAGAAATATTTTTTTAATTTTTGGTTATTATAATCCCTAAGAAACAGCTAAACTTATAGTTTTTGCTAGGGTTCTAAGTTCAGTATAGTTGTGGGGTTTAGGGGGTTCGGGGGTTTAGGGGTTTAGGGTTTTATGGTTTAGGGTTTAGAGGTCCTGATGCAAAAAGGGTTTAGAGGTTTGGGGCTTAGAGGTGTTAGGTTTGAAGACTTTAGGGGTTAGGGGCTTAGGGGGTTTTCGGGATTAGGGTTTAGGTGTGAGGAGTTCATGTTTAGGGTTTAGGGCCTCGGGGTCGTTAAGGGTTTAGGCTTCAGGGTCCTCAACATTGGAATTGGGATCACCTTCATGGTTTCTCATTCAAAGACGTAGGGCGACCTAAAGAGGGCTATTATTAATCATAGGTTTACATTGAGATAGATTCGGAGTGATGAATTCGGCGTTCGAAAACAAAGCATTCCCGAAATTGTAGTGGTGCTCCATTTGTACGGGTCTGTGAAGGTAGATGGGGGTCGCTGGGACCTTGTAGCCCAGGGCTGAAGGAAGTGAAGGCAACACAACAACTTGTTTAAGGTTCACAAGGACGTAAATTCACGGTTACGTTAAGGTTTGGTTTGGAGTTGAGGGTTATAAGTATTTAGGGGAGACTGCCATGAGTGTCGACACTTCAAACGCGCTTCATTCATTTGCTTGCTGGACCGGGCCGGCTTGTGAATCTGCCAAGCCGCCAGCGGAAATGGGTGGACGTTCCCGGCCATAGCGCCGACCAGAGCCAACCATGAAAGCTTCGATGATGACGCTGAGGAGGAGGCGGCAAAGGACTGCAAGTTTGTTCCGATGTGCCAGTGGGAAACTCCTTCTGAATCTTTTTCGGAGCTGTAATATAGGGGCCTCAATAATTAGAACAGGGTTTGGGGGGACACTATACTCCAATCATAATAAGGAAGCCCCAAAACCCTATTCTATTTATTGAGGCCGCTAGAGTACGTCGACATGTCCCCGGGCAGTGGCCTTGCGTGCGTGGCCGCGCGGCCCGAGGCGAATCGCAAGGACATCGGCTTTGTGCTTTGGTTTAGGGACCCAAAAAGGACATGAGCATAAGCATCTTATGGGGATATCCCTACCTTATTGGGCTTCATTGTAAGGGAATTTATATGGGATATCCCTATCCTAATGTTTGCTTATGTGCTGTTTGGAGGCCCTATTGGTGAAGGAAGATTCCTGCAAGCAGATTGGGCTTGTCAGATTTGGCCCAGGAGGTGTATGAAGTTTGAATTTTTTCAGACCTGATCACCTGCAAATCATACATTCGATGCATCCGCAAATATGCTGCACTGGGTTTAGGTTGTCAGAGTTTGGGTTTTGATATTGAGGGCTGAGGGCAGGGTGCAAGTGTAAGGGTTTGGAGTTGCAGTTTCGAGGACGCGACGACGAGCAGAGTTTTGAAATGCACGTGCTTGTCTTTTTGAAGAGTGATCCTCCCGACAGGGGCCCCAGGGGCGGAATCGCAGGTCCATTCCCGTATCCCTTACTGAATATAGACCCCTGGTTAGTACCTCTTCGAGGGATCCTAATATTCAGACCCTTAAGGTACGGGAGTTTGTGAATAAGGGCCTACATTGCCCACAAACTCGACGGAATAAAGTGATCGGGATATTGCACATAAGTGGAGTGGAGCGGAGGGGCATCCAGGAAAGAAATCCGGTCAGAAAGCGGTGTCACCTCCGGCCAAATGGCTCCAGGAGGGTATTATACAGTGCAAGCAGCACATAATCATGAATGGTCCTGATGAGTGCATGTTTTCCAACCAATGGTTCCCTTTTAGTTGCGAAAACCCAAAGCCCGAGTCTGATTATCCAGGCTAAACCCGAAAATCTGAGGTTTCCACGTAGTTGGGGGGCAGGTCTCTACTTGTGTAGATGTTCATGGGTAGTTATAAGTAGGGTTAAAACTGGGGTAACTATACATACAACCCATACTAGGGGACTTATAGCCATACGTATAACTACCCAAGAACCTCCAAGCAGGCTTTGTTTGTTTGTACATTTTTTGGTGCGGGGCTTGTGGGAAAACAGGTGTTACGAATCGGGTCTGTAGCAAACCAAAGCACATAAACTCCCAAGAGCTTCAGTTTGGGGGGGTCAGGGTTGAAGGTTTTGGGTGGTCCGTATAGCACGGCGCGGTCCTCTTCCAGGCATGTACTGGAGCTCCAGAAAGGGCAGGCCAATCCCATGAACCACATGCCACCCTAAACCCTAAACCATCCATTCCATCCCGGAAAGCCCAGAAAAGCAAGCTCCAAGCCCTGATACGAAATCCCAAACCTGCCTGAGAGGTCATCTTCAGCGCAGTGCAGAAGAGCCCTTGTCTGTTTTGTGGACGGGGGCGGCCCAACTCTTGCTGAGGGTCTGTTCTAACAGTAAGCAGCATGTTGGGGCTGGGTGTTTGCAGCACATACGACCAGACCCTAACCCTTAAAAGGTTTAGGGTTTGGGGTGTTCTGAGCCCATTGAACTCAAGAAGCGGGATGGTACACCAAAACTCGCAAACCCTGAAATCCTAGACCAAAGACGCAGAGGATGACTCTCCGTGCCAAGGTCATGCATAGGGTTGGGCTTGTTGGAAAGTAGGTTTGAGAGTAAAGGGTCCGTGCATAATTGAAAGTTTGAACTGGAGGTGTCCGGACATGCTGAAACTGCCTGAAACCCGATCTTGGCAATGCATTCGCGGGGGTAGTGTAGCGGGTTAATGTGCTAGATGATCTCAGGGGACAACTCAGCAATAGTGAGATACGGAACTGTCGTTCCGCTAGGGATTTCGGGGTTAAGGGGCTGTGGGGGCAGACAGGGTCTAGCACAAAGCCCCCAACCCTCAGACTTTATGCAAGACTTGGATCGTGAGGGAAAGACGCGCACAGGACTTGGAGTTTTGATGGTACCTGGGCGTTCTTCTTGTTGGCTCTTAGGACTTTAGCTTTTTGGGTTTCTATATGAACTACAATAAGGAGGCTACAAGTTTAACTTTTAGGAGGGGTTCAGAAGTCAGCGAAGGTTCGGTGGTCATGAGTGGTTCGGGCTCGTAGTCGAAAGATTTGGGCAGCAGCCTACACTCAACAGTAATGCAGGCACCTGAGAAACCCTGGGCCTATAACCCCAAATTAGTAGGGTTCATATAAGGAGCCCTAGTGAAGGCCTTAAGTTTCTTAATGAGGTTCCTACATTATTATACTACCCTTATGGATTAGTAGGGTTCATAGTTCATATAAGGAACCCTAATGAAGGACCAAGGTTTCTTAATCAGGTTCCTACATTAGGGCTTTATCTGTGGCCTGGACGTCGGGTTATGGCCCCTCTCAGGGTTCTCATTGCGGATGGCTCTGGACCAATATCAAAGCTTGGACAATTGGAATAAGGCTTTGGGCTTTTGTGTAGTTTTGCAACGGTGTGATAGTACTGAATACTTGTTGATAACTAACACCATATTGATAAGCGAGGGTCGTGACCGCATGCCGGCACTGAAAGTTCATAATCGTACACATACAGTACGATACGATTACGAGTTGCTCATGCCTCTAGACTAGGAACGGCCTGGCGCTTCGTTTCGCTGCACCGAGCTTGAGAGCAGAGAAGGTCCGAGGGAACCGGTTTGGGTTTTCGGCGGCTGGGCTTGAAGGTTTGAGTAGAAACGAGCTTTGGGCTGTTTATGCTGTTTTGCATGGTTCTGTAGGATTTTGTGTCTTAGTTTGGGTTTTCGACAAACCTTGCACAAGGTTGGTTTTCTGATCCAGTGAGACATGCCATGCCAGGCAAAGGATCTAAAGGGCAAGGCTTCCTGATGACGGATCAGAATCAAAGGGGAAAAGGAGGGACCCTGAATGGGGACCCCTACCCTCTCATGGGCTATCTCATGGGTATATAATAGCTGTATTATGGGTATATACAAAGGGGTCCTTATTAAGGGTCCCTCCTTTTACCCTTGGATCAGAAGGGTTGAATTCCGAGATGGATCGGCTTGGGGCTCGGTACTGCCAGCTGTTCACATAGAAAATGTAGCGAGCAAGTTGATCAAAGTTTTCGCGACTTGCGTCTTTGTGCATTCAAACCTACTGGACCTACTGCCCGCGAGCCACCAACTTCATTGTGAGTGTGGCTTTTCAGTGTCACAGGGTCGCGCCGGTTTTTTGAACTGGTTTTGGCACGTCGGTGCTCGGTCCTTGATGCTTTCGGAGCAGTCGCGATTTTTGATTTGGGCTTTGGAAGGTTTCAAAACCTAGGAAGATCATGTTTAAAATGCTTGCGTTTGAAAGATCATGTACTCGACATGTGGCAACAGGAGAAAGGTTCAACACAAGGGTAGCTGCGTAGCCCTGAAAATTTGGAACCCGTCTTTCGTCTTTGAAGAAGTTATGCGGGGATGCTTCGCTTCCAGTCGGGCACGTTCGCAGCCAAGGGTTCTTCCTAGAGTCACTTCGGAGGGTTCGAAAAACAGCAAAGCTTGAAAAGGCTTGGATATCTTTCAACCACAGTAGTCACCTGAATGGAAAGAGCCTCGACGAGACATTGAATACCCTTAGTTTGCGGAAAGCCCATGTTGGATTTATTTTTAATTGCTCTAAGGACACTGGAATATTGGTGGTAGTATGCTTTTGCATGAGTCCCCCAGATTTGGGCTCCGAGGAACAGTCTACAGGAGTGAGGCTTGCCGCAAACCTGAACCCTAAGCCCTCCCTGGCTTGTGCGAGAACGAGAATCGAAACCTTCCCGCCTTCGTACTGAAGGAATATAGCTTAAATCACAATGGACGTTGCCGGCCGCACTGCATCTGCTGTGCGTCGGACTCGGAGCCTGTGTGAGCTATAGCTGAAATCACAATATGAAGCCCCTAATGGTTTAAGTAAGGTATATTCCTTAATTAAGGTAATTAAGGGGTATTGGGCTCTCTTGGAACCAGGGACTTGCACTGTAGGCGGGAGGGAAAAATTCTAAACCTCCGTTCTGGCCAGGACGTTGTCATGGCAGCCGTGTCTCAGTGCGGGCGGGCGCTCCAGCACGCTTCGGAGGAGTGACGAGGGTTTAGGGGCTTCTTAGTAGCTGAGTAAGTAACCTTTAAGCTCTTGGTCTTCATATGATCCTACCAGAATTGAAACAAAAGGTTAACCTTTCTTGGGCTAATGTACTCAGCCCCTCAGGCTTTCGTCGGGTTTGATGGCGCACATGTTAGGCTCAAGCCCGCTGTTTGAACACAGGTCCGCTTGCGGCACCGTTTCCGGTGACGCACGTTCCATCGTAAATTCCCATACTTTGGAGCACCAACTTGCGGCAGCATCCAAACTGGATGAAAATCGTGCAAACCTCCACAAGCCCATAGCATTCGCCCCCTCAGAGGGTGTTCCTGAAATGCCTCGGCTAAGGAGCCTGGCTGGCACTTTAACAAATGTCGAAATCGCCACTGTACCGCGGGTATTTTGGAGTGGGCATCATCATCCTGCCACACTCGTCTGCCGCCCGAACTGACCGGAATCTGGTGCGACAGTCCCATGCCTGAGACTTGTGCTCCTCGCAGTCGGTCCGGGTCGCCGTGGTGCTCGTGGTCGTGCTTGTCTCTTCGGGCACATTTTGGGCGAGCGTAGTTGCTTACTAATAAGGGTGGGAATGTAAAGACACCACAAACCTCGAAGAAGAGGAGCTGCAGACTGATCGGGAACTGGCCATCGCTGCGCTGCAGGCCAGCCCCGATGAGGCTCATCTGCTTCCTACTCCTGCGACGTACGGTTCAAGGTTTAGGGTTTCTGTAGCTGCAGTTTTCATATCTTTATCATAAATTCCAAAAGTATCCTTGGGCTGGAGAGTTAACAGTGTGCGCCCGTGCACACACACACACACACACACACACACACACACACACACAAGAGCACACACATACTTTCTCGACTCGGTTGTTTGCGGGCTTGAGTGCAGAAGGTTTGAGAATAATTGAGCATTTGGGTCTGGTGCGGTGGGGTCACCTAGTCATTGGATGCGAGAACGGTGCAGTGCTGTGCAACTGAGCATAACTTTGCATGGGTTGTGGCGTGGTTATGCCATGGGGATAAGTCTGAGAGCGGCTTAGCAAAATTTGGATTCGTTGTTGTGTAGCCTTTCAATTTCATTCGGTTCATGCTACATCGGTGACTGAGGGTGCCTAGTTCTGGCAGCCATACCAAGGCCCACACAGTATTTGCTGCACTGGGGCATGAAAACACTGGTGGATTCATGTTTTGGGCTACGCGTATATAGGACGCCTGAGTACTTCCTGGTATTGTTCCATTAGGTTCCCTGATATAACACAGAAAGTAGCCCAAAATCATGTTCCCCTGTTTTATATTGCCCAAAGTTCGAGAACCAGCCTTAAGATGTTGATGTTTTGTTTGTAGGTACACCCTCAGCCCTGGACTAAAGATCCCTCTTCACGCACGAGACGAGGGGACCCTAATATAGCACCCGAAATAGCAGGACCCTTACTATAAGGACCCCCAAATAAGGTACCCCTAATTTGCAGAAACCCTAAACTCTAAACCCTTTATAGAAGCCTTATAGATCCCGTTAAGGAACCCTTAAAGGATCCCTTTAAAGGTACCACCTAATTTTCGGAAACTCCTAAAAGGTGCCTGCGATTCTGCCAGCCCAGCTTGCCGGTGACAAGGACCGACCTCCTCGGTCAAGGGTTTAGGGTTTTTCCCGTGCGGTTTGAGACCCAGACCCCTTAATTATAGGGATTTAAGTCATATTAAGGTTCGTAGCAGAATCTACAGGAGGGGTTAAGGAATACTTAGTAGCTGAGTGGATACACTTTACACGTTTTGGGAAAATATTACCCAAAATAAAACTGAAAGTGGTCATCTACTGCTAAGAAGCATTCTGCTCTTGCTCCTGCTACTGGCGATGGTGATGATGACGGCACTACTGCACTTCCTCGTTCTGCTTATGCTCAGACGGCGATAATGATGAGATTAACGACGCAAGCTCGGAGGATGTTTAGCGCAGCGACCAGGCTAAGATTCGGACGATTGGTGACTACGTCTTGGGTACTGCCCCACTCACTAACAGTTGGATAATAATCATAATATAGAGGTCTACGGACCTTGAAAGGAGCCCTATTATAGGCTGCTACTGTATGGGAGCCGTACCCAAACTACGTCCGCACAGCTGGGGCTCCGTCATCCTACGAGCTCTTGGGTTCTAGGCCCGCCTGTGGCGAGCTTTCGTCGATAACAAAAATTCGGCAGGCATCTATTACAGTGAACCCCAGAAAGTTGGAACATGGTTTGGGGATAATTCATGCCGGGATTCCCCACACTTTGCTTTAAGGGCATGAGGATAATGATGTTCCGACTTTCTGGCTTCTGCCTTAGATGCTTCATGCCTGCATGTTAAAGAAGCTAGCTAAACCCCTAAAATAAGGTGGGTTACAGGCCGTATGGCCTGGCCAAGCAGCGTGCCGGGTCGGTGCAATGGGGCTTCTACTCCCACATCCTTAGCCCCTAAACCCTAAAGCCCTAAAACCCTAATCCCTAAACCCCTAAACGCTAAAACCCTAAACCTTAAAACCCTAAACCCTAAAACCCTGAAAGCTAAAACCTTAAAGCCCTAAACCCAAACCCTAAGCCTTCGCGTGAGAGCCCATCCTGACCCGTCTGGTTCTTAGTAGGGAATGGGGGAATGGATCCTTATGGTAGTCCCCATATAATCCCCAACAATCGTCTCCATAGTCCCTCCCCCTAAACCCTAGGCCCTAAACCCTGAACCCTACAGTCTCTGACAACACCATTCCTTCCAAAATTCCCTACCAGATAGTCTGAAGGAGACGATGTTGGCCCTGGTCCGCATGTCTGGGGTGTGCCTCGCATGGAAGCGGTTTAGGGGTGCTATAAGGGGTTCCTTTAAGGCTTAAGGGATCTACAGGGGTCAAAAAAGGCGCTCTTAGTAGCTGAGTAGGTAACCTTTAACCTTTTAACCCTTGGGGTTTATATACGTAATCCTACCAGAATTACCTTTTGTGGGCTAGGATATTCTGTCCCTAAGGAAGGGAAGTTGAGGGGTTTAGACATGTAAGCTGTTGTTTTTGTGGTTGTCAATGGCTCTTTTTACAGGGTGTTATCGGGTGTGGGGGTTTACGGGGCTTGATAGGTTTCAGCTTATTAAGTCTATTTGGGGGATTTGGGGGCTTACAGGGTGTAGGGCTTAGGGTTCAGGTGTAGGGCTTAGGGTTCAGGAAGTTCAGGGGAACCGGACAATAGACCCCTCCACACGTGACGGGTGCACTTTCATTGCACTTTCATTCGTTTGCATCCATTCGACGACTGTTTGCCTTGCGGCTGCTTTCGCTTCATTGCCTCGTCTTCGAGAGATCTATTTCCTTAGAGCTGGGCTTTGCATACTCTTCATCCCAAGGAAGGATGGTTGCACAACACACTGGTGCATACTGCTGATGTTGCAACGTGGAGCTCTGCAATTATCAGGTCAGGTATGTTGGGTAATGCCTGGGTTAACCAAGTCTGTGTAAGCCAGCTGCATCAGGATGAGTTTGCTGCGTTCATGCCGCCCCTACAAGACCAGATGCGGGTCAGTCATAGCAGGTCGTTGCTTTGCTGCCGGATGATCAGTTCGAGCAATGACAGTCTCTGCGTTGTCCGATGTCGGATGTGTAGTCTAGATGCTAGTTCGGAAGATAGTTCTGGAAATCGTGGATGTTTGTTTCGTTCTTGTGTTTCTCTCACTCCCACATTTGCATTCCTCGTCAAACGAGAAGGCCCCGCTGTCGAGGAGTGTTCGCTGGCACAATCTAAGCCCATGCTGAAAAAAAGGTTTGGGGCTTAAGGTTCACAGGTTCGGATGCCAGGCTGCAGATTCATTCGGTTTCAGATGGCAGCATTTGGGCATTCCAGTTCCGGAAGCACAGCAAGCCATGCTCTGCCCAGCTCCTTAACAGCAAGCCATAAAACTGGCCTGAAACTCGTTCATAAGCATCACCGGGAACATGAGCCACGAAACCCGGAACCTTCAACCATCCTTTGACTTAATCTTACAGGGACCTTACATGGGACTTTCAGGCACCTTTCCCTCGCCGATGAGAGGTTGCGAGCCGACCCTGAAGTGGTAGCCTCAGAGTTTCGTGTTTCGGGGTTTACACTTTACACTTTTAAGAAGCCTTCTTAGCTTAGGGGTTTAATTGTGACGCTTGAAGATGTTAGTTTTTGGAGTTTAGGGGGTTCAGGACTTCAATGTCGTATGGCGTATCCTCTAGAAGCTGTAGTGTGTGGAGAGCGTTGTTCTGTTCGCTGCCACCTGCCGAACAAAGACTTTATCCCAAACCCCTATTCTATAGGAACCGGCTACAGAATCCTTTAAAGGAGCTTTGTTCGAACTTTGTACTAGGGCCGCCAGAGGGCGTGACCAAGCTCCTTAAAGTCAGACACTTCACTCAATCGTTAAAACAAAGCGATTCTCCACAAAGGGTGCAGGGCCTCAGGCCCAGGGTTCCAGGACTTCGGGTTTCAAGCTTTTCGGGGTTCAGGATTTAGGATATTTGTGTGTTAAGATGTTTCAGAAATCAGGGTTAATCCTGAACCCCAGACCCCCATAAACTAAGCCTTAAACCTTAAGTTAACCCCTAAGCCCTTAAACCCAAAGGTATGTCTGGCATGGTGTCGGTGAGCCACAACATCTGGGAAGAAGTCCAAAGGGTCGTAAGTACCTATATTGTAGAGAGCAGGGCTTCTATAGTAGGAGTTACCATTATGGTTTGGGTAGATATCCACCATATTGGTACTTAAGACCTGTAGTGCAGAGGTCAGACTTGTGTCATATGGGACGCAACTTTTCACGTTAACTTCCGGTGTAACACCGCTCGCTTATAGTCCAGTGTCTCTATAAGTGTGCGATACTCTATCCGCAAACCCCTATTCCAGTGCTTCACAACCCTGTACTGCAGCAGTGCAGCAGCTCTCAAGCAGTATTCCCCAGGTTTGGGTTTAGTGAGGTTTGGGGCTTGCGGGTGTAGTGTAGACTCCAGAGCTTAAGTTTGCTTAACAGGGCAAAGTCCCAGAAGGAGCCTTCCACCACTGACAGGTTGTGCTCGCAGCCCTGGGAAAAGACGTCATCGCCCTGCAGATGGCTGCCGACGAGTTGTGACTTGGGCTGAAGACACCATTCCAGACTAGCAGGCCATGATCTGCATTTGGAGGCTTATTCTAAAATGACGGGTCCTTGCTTGGGCTACCTATGTTGAGGTCGAAGCTCTATATCAGAGTTCGTTGCGTTCTGCAGCTCCCATGTGCGTCACCGCGTCGCGGATGATTCCTCATAGCGTATGGGGAAGATCCCAGAAAAGTGTAACGTTCCGAAATCCCACACTCTTGAGAACATGTGTATAAGGCTAAGGGTTTGGGGAAGCTTACGGTAAAGGCATGTGTAACTCTTTTGTACAATCATTAAACACCCAAACTCTTCAACCCGGGCAACACCCAGTCAGAGCTTAGTACAACCCGGTACAACCCCGTCAAAAGCCTACTAGGTCTCCGACTGGGCACTTTGCCCGTGTTGTTGTCTTAGGTTCCTCACAAAAAACTACCCGATAGCAAACGCGAGCCCTTGTTTATTCCTAGGTTCCTGGGGATCCTAAAACCCAAAACCCCTAAACCCTAAACCATATCAAGAGCCTAAAGCTTAACTTCACCCCTCCGAGTCCCACCAGGCCGGCGTGCAAGGGCCAAGCAGTTGGTAAAATCAGAATATTTAGGGTTTAGGATATCAGCAGCATTGCTAATCGCAGAACTGAGAATACTGATGGCGATGAAAGTGGTGTGCGCATGATAGAAGAGGTATAAAAAACAGTCTATAATCATAATCGTAGCTAAAACATGCAACGCTTTTGTTGAAGTATACAAGTCTGGCGTTGTAAGGAAATTCCGCTTTCCCATTCCTGAGGAAGAGCGATGGCGATTTCATGCTGTCTGCCATCTCTGAGGACCTGTTTGGGGCTTCAGCGCGTGAGATAGCTGCAGCAAATGCAAGGTAGAGGTTTGAATAAGTAGTTGGTAGTGATATCCCATGAAAACCCTTATAGTTCGTATGTACTTGCGCTAGAATGTAACCTGAATCCCTCGCCCCAGTTTTCATGTTGATTACTAACATAAATGCTATATTGCAGCTTCCTTCTTCTTGCTGAACTGAGCCTGAGGCACATTACACCATGATGATATGGTTGTTATGGAACCGTCCTATTGCTGAATCGCTCTATGGGATCAAGGGTTCGGTTTGCGATCACGGCCCCGACGTTTTCCGCAAAGAGGGCAGGGCTGACTGGCATCGCCAACGAAGCGGAGATCGAGTTAATGATTAGCAGAAGGCTTTGGGATGTTTGGGGGCCAATGATACTATAAGTATAATACGGAACCCCCAAAGTCGTACCGGTAATTTTTTATGCCCCTATAATACCGTACTGTAGATGATCAAGTACATGGCAAACCAGTCAAGCACGCAAACCTGCGGCCTCCGAAGCCCTAAGCCCAAGCTAGTTACAAGTCGGGTAATAAGCCCCCAATATGGGGCATAAGTATCGCTGCCCTACTTATATCCCGACTGACAAGTGCTTAAAACCCAACCCCACAACCCTGTAGAACCCTGAAAGGAACCCTAAACCCTGAAAACTCTACCTATACGTACCCATGAACCTTCAAGTTAGCCAAACCTCCGAAGTTCCTGCAGAACCCGGCGGCATTCCTCTTCTCGAAAGAAGAGCTGCAGCAGGACTTCGGAATAGGGGTTGGTTTTGTGGCATGGGAGACTGTTTTTTTTGCACTTTGTGGCGTATTTCGGAAGTTTCTGGTTTGCGATGTTTGAAGGTTGGCCTGAAAAGCTTGAACCCGGTGGCGATTGAAAGCTCGCCTAGAAGCTCGCTCATTCTCGTGAGAATTATGGTTATCTGCGCTTTTTTTTTGAGTTATAAGTAGTCATATAAGTGAGGCTGCTCTCTAGAACTGGTTAAAGCCCAAATCCTGGACCGGTTAAGCAAGGTTTGTGTTGCCTAAAAGTCGAGATCTGACCCGCGGACTCAGAAATTGCGGATGTAGGACTCTTTAGTAAAGTTTAGGTTGGGTACTGCCCCAATACAGCAACAGTCAAGAATGGGGCCTTATAAAGGGGCTAATATAACTATATTTCGAATATGATCCAACTGTCACTGACTGGGGCCAGTACCCAAAGTTTAGGAATTTAGGGGTTTGGGGGTTCCAAGTCGGGATTCGGGGCTTTAGGGTTTAGGAAACTGACCGGGAAACTCCTGGATATTTGAAATTCGGTATTAGCAACTATCCTTGAAAATCTGGAAAGAATGAGTCTAATTACTGTCTATGTGTATAGGCACGCATATATCTATATATACATATATGTATATATATGTATACATGTGTACATATGTATGCACGCATGCGCATCTGTAAGCAAACATGCCGTTCATAAGAGGACATGTAGTCTCCATCAGCCGCCTACCATGCATAGGTTGGGGATCTGGCTAAGCACAGTCTTACCCAGAGAGCCCAATACCACTTAATTAAGGAATATACCTCAAATCATAAGGGGGATCATATAATGATTAAAACTATATTTGTTAATTAAGGGGTATTGGGCTCTCTGGGTAAGCCATAAAACCCTACAGCGCTTCACAAGGATGACGAGTTCGTGGCGCGTGCGATGCAACAGCACGACGGAGTTGGTCGATCCACGTCTCCATCAGTCATTTCAAAGGTTCAGCATCTACGCTTTCGGGTGTTAACTAGGCCTCCCAGTGGGTCCTTTTTCCTTTTTGTAGTCCTAGGTTCCTTGTAAAGTTACCCAGTACCATAAAGGGAGCCCTGTTTCTTCCTAGGTTCCTGGGCACCCTAGTGTTAAGGTTGAGATCCAGGGCAACGTAGGAACCTGATTCAGGAACCCTGGTCCGAGAGCCCCCCAAGATGTTAGGATTCATATGGGTGGTTGTCAAAATTGGGGTCCTTTTTTTGGATCCTTATTATAATACGGCACCTTATATTTAGGGTACCCAAAAAGGGACCTTAATTTTGACAACTATCCATATACAAGATATAAAGAACCCTAATCAAGACCCAAGCTGTCTTCATCAGGTTCCTATACTAGGGTAGGATTTAGATTTAGGCTTTCAGGGCTGAGGGCTTTGGGGTTTAGGATTAGGGCTGCAGGGTTTCGGGTTTAAGCTTCAGGCTTAGGGCCTATAGGGTTTAGGGAAAGTTTAGGGTTCCTTTAAGGGTCCCTTTAAAGGGATCTATAGGGATTCTATAAGGGTATAGGGTTTAGGGTCTACTTTAGGGAAAGTTTAGGGTTTAGGGTCTTCAGCTGAATTGGGGGATTTGGGGGAGGAGTGTCTGGTTCCAGAACTACTGCTCATTCTCATGCCTTGGCTTTTGGAGGTTCAGGGGTAGTTATATGTAGGGTTATAAGTAGGGTAACTATACTTATAACCCATATTAGGGGACTTACAACCCTACTTATAACTACCCATGAACCTCCAAGTATTCAGAGCCTTTCAGCATGGAGTGACGGATTCGGCACTGAGCCACGAACCACTCGCCCCAAAGCCTTACAGACTACACCCCGAAAGCCCTAAATCCAGCTTCAAAACTAAACCTCGCACCCCCGAGCTCCGAAGTCGTAAAACCCTGAACCTTGGAACGCTCTCACAAATAGTGACATAAGTTCTAAAGCACTAGCACCTTCCACGACGAAAGTTCCCGGCCCCTCCCCCTTTAGTTTTTCGGGTTTAGGGCTGGGGGATTGCTACCAGTATATAATAAGGCATGTGCACTGCAGCACTTTCTGCCAAAAATGGGCTGCATGAGGTGTTTCACAGCATTCATTGGGTCTTAGAGAGCCTTGAGGCTTAACCTGGGCGCCTGACTAATTGGCAATACAATGCTTCGGGGTTCCTTAGTCTCATTCAGGAAAGAAACTCCCCAGACCATGGTTCTAGTTCTTCCGATCTCTACCCAGAGAGCCCAATACCCCTTAATTAAGGAATATACCTCAAATCATTAGGGGCTTCATATTATGATTTAAGCTTTATTCCCCATTAAGGGGTATTGGGCTTTCTGGGTGCATTAGGGTTTTAGGATCTAGGTTGAGGTGTCTCTTAGCAATGAAGTAGCTGAGTCGGTAACCTTGCAAATGCTGGGTGGATACATACCTACCTTTAATCAGAGGTAAAGTCGCGGTTTGAAGAAATACCAACGCCTTGGGGCCCGGCCTGTGTAACAGTTAGATAGTGTAATATACTTATACCTATACCTGGCCCTTATTAAACGCGAATATAGACGGATGCAGGGTACACAACCCACACCCTTTTCAAATCATTTCGAGATTCCAAGCCACTTTATCTCTACAGCGGGTTCCAACAGGATGCTGACAACTACGTGACCCGTGGCTTCCGGATCTAGTTTGTATCTAATTCGTAAGGAAGATGTTCAGACTACCTCTGCAGTATCCAGCATGCTGTTGAAGGATTCATCCTCCAGCGTCAGGAGACGGCCACCGGGGGCTCAAAGGATTTTGATGAGGGGGGCAGGAATGTGTTTTCACACAAAGCCATCTAAAATCTTCATAAGCCGTAATAAACCCGCATGAAACCCTCTTCAAACCAAATGGACCCCTTCTTCATGCATTGAGCCGGTAAATGCGAGACGTCGAGTGCCCAGAGCAATTACATCCGAAAATGCGTAGATGCCGTGCACAGCAACAAAACAGACGGGTAGGGAGATGGATGGGGCTTGGGGTGTAGAGTTCAGGCTTTAGGTTTTTAGGGTTAGGGTGCAGTGTTTAATGGCGTGATGGTTGGGCAAAGGGAGAATCTAGGGGCCTTATTAGTGACAGTGGAATTTCGTGGTGGTATGTTCTAGTGATTCTAGAAGCAGGGCAACATGCTAATGAACGTGTAGAACACAGACACAAAAGACCGTAGGACTAGACATGGCACTCTCTTACATGATTCAACATGACATGAGGCTCTGTTTGTATTACCGTCTTGGTGAGTGTATGCAGGGCGCCTTATGAATTTTGCCGGACTTTATTACTAGGCCTCCCAGTGGGCCCTTTTTCCCTTTTTGTAGCCCTAGGTTCCTTATAAAGTTACCCCATACCAAAAAGGGAGCCCTTTTCATTCCTAGGTTACGGGGCATCCTAGCTAGATTATGGAGAACTCATCTGTCACAGATCTCCTACATGCCGTGAGCTCAGACCTGAAGATGAGGTGCCCCGAACCCTGCTTGGAGGTTCATGGGTAGTTATGCCTGGGGTTATCAGTCACCTAATATGGGTTATAAATTATATAGTGACCCTATAGTTGCCCTACTTATAACCCTACATATAATAATTACATGGGTTATAGGTATAGTCACCCTATATATCCGTACGTATAACTACAGTAAAGACCCTGCAGGCAATGTTGCACAGATGCAGATCTCTGGAGCGTTTGTGGTTCGGAGCATCGGCTTAGGGGATGCACCCCAGCGAATGCGCAAACCGCAAGAAAACTGAGACCCCAGAGGCCCCAAATCTTGCCTAAACCCGAAACCCTAAACCCTAAACCCTAAACCCCTAAACCCTAAACCCTAAACCCTAAACCCCTAAACCCCTAAACCCCTAAACCCTAAACCCTAAACCCTTATATGTGCCAGCATCCGCGCACCCCCCCGCCCCCTCCCCCCCCCATGGTAATCCCCCTCCGTTCCTGTGGTTCCCCCCCCCCCCTGTGGTTCCTCTTGGTTTTCCCCCTCCCTTTTGTGGTTCTTCTGGTTCCTGTCTCCCCCCTCCCCCCCTGTGGTTCCTGTGGTTCCTCCGCGTGGTTGCTGCTGCTTTGTTGTTGCTGCTGTTCTTCTTCTTGTTCTTGTTCTTGTTCTTGTTGTGTGGTCGGGGGGGGGGGGGGGGGGGGGGGGTGTCGAGAACGCGGAGCGCGGGCACATATAAACCCTAAACCCGGGCAGATTGCAAACTCTGTGCCGAGGCTACAACCCACCGGCCGAAAACCCAACCCCGAAAGATTGGACTCACCCAGATCCCCGAGAAGATCGAAAAAGTAGACCCCCTATGTTGGGACCCTATACCACTAAAGGCTGCTTCATGGGAACCCCCTTAAGGGATCTACTTCTTGGATTCTCCCAGGGATCTTGGCAGGGGTTTCAGGTTTTCAGTAGGGTGTGCGAGGATGAGCTCCGTCACGAGATCAGTCTGCCAAGGACTCTGCCCGCTCAAAGCCTTGAGGGTTTAGCTTTGGGAACCCTAAACCCTAAACCCTAAACATTTAAGATGGTGTAGATGCACACAGTCAAGCGGCTTTTGGGCTGATTGTCCTCCGCTGCTTTTCGGAATCCCATTGCAGTTCCACTTAGATCCCCAATACCTATAGGGTTTAGGGTTTAGGGTAAACTTTTTGGGTTATTACAGTTTATATAGTAGGAACCGGAAAGTTTTGCCTTTCATTTGTGTGGCTTATTGGGGTAGTAAGTCTAGGGGTTTTCTGGATCTCAGCTTTCTATCTCCGCAGCTGTCGGAACCTACAGCATGCTACATTGCATAGCACCCTAACGCCTTTCGTAATTCATAATTCAAGTCTAGGGGTTTAGGGGCTTAGGGTTGAGGGCTTGCATACCCTGAATTGGCTTAGTGGCTGAGTAGGTAACTTGTAACCTTTTGGGGTTTCTATAACCCTACCATGATTGAAAACGTTGGCCTTCTCAAGGTACTGAGCCCCTCAGGCCTTACATTGGGGTACCCTAAAACCCTAAAACCTTGAAGCCAGTCGGCTGTTGCAGAAAAAGAGCCTTGTTTTCGGTCCCCAGTTTGGTTTAAGTTTTTGGGTTTAGGGCTTAGGGTAGAGGGTTTAGGGGTTTAGGTTCAGGGTTTAGGGGCTTTGCGATTAGGGTTTAGGGCTTACCTGTGGGTTCAGGGCTTTTGTGGCTTTCGGTTAAGGGCTTACCTGCGGGTTCAGGGGGAAGCTGAGGCACAATGCATGGGACCAACGGCAACATGAGCAACAGGGCAATTTCAGCTCCTATGGTGTGGAAGTTTCCGAAAATTAGGGGCACCTTATTCTGGGGTCCACATAATAAGAGTCCTACCATTTAGGGTACTATATTAGGGTCCCCCATGTTCGGAAACTCCCAAATCCCTAAACCCTAAACCCTTTATAGATCCCTTAAAGGAACCCTTAAAGGAACCCTTAGAGCCCTAGGGTACTATATTAGGGTCCCCTATTTTCCATGTCGACACCAGGAATTTACTGGAATGTGCCATAGAAGCCTGCCGAGCGACTCGTTCAGCAATGCAGGATGCCAAAAATTATAACCCTAAACCCTAAACCCTAAACTTAAAAACAGGACCCTGGACCCGAAAAAGCCCTCAACGAACCGACTTCCCACTTCTGCCGCTCCTCTCCAGGACACTGGCATCTTGACATCTCGTTGTGTACAGCTCTTTCATGATTTCAAGAAGCCGGGCTGCTGCTGATGCTGCAACCATCACACTGCTACCACGAGTACGTAGTACAATCACCGCATGCAACCACCACCACCACCACAGCGGTTTAGAGTTCAGGGTTTAGGCTTGACATGTCGCACATCAGTCAAGCCATATCCATCTTGCGCAGCAATTGAGCTCAATTTCCGTGGGTCCTCATTGTCAACAAAGGCAGCGTTGCAGTTAAAAGATGCTGGCTCGTCTTTTTGGTCACGGACGGAACTAGACTTTGGCTGCTTGCAGATGTGCCGAGAGCATGATTTTCCATGCAAGAGCCGCAGAAGTTCCTCCTGTTGCTTTAGGCTCCGACGTAGGAGCTTTGGGCTTGAGCAACCCTTCCATGTCTCCGACCATGTTTAAGACATCGCGGAGGCACCGCTAGCGGGAAAAAGCCGTGCTGCATTTGAGATGCTGAAGTGCTCGGACAGGCTTCCAAGCAGGAAGACTTGAAGACTACGATCAGGCAGTGAACGATCAAGATGGAACCATTAATGTCGCAGCCACTGCCTGGAAAATAATCCTACTGCATCCGGAACTCTCACATTTGCCATTCATCGGCTTATCAGCAGGTATTCAAGTGTCGTGAAAGAAGCTAACACTGACATGCGACTGCAACCGAAGCCAAGTTATGGTATACTGTGCCCCCAAACCGTAAGCATAAGCACTAGCATCGAAAATGTTAAACCAATTTGTTTTAATTTTGCCCCTATGTTCGCGGGTTAGGGTCAAAGCCTGCACTGGACCTCTACACGAAACAGTGCGGGCAAGCTGCTAGCATGGGGTTTAAGGTTTGGGGTGGGATGTCGTGGTTCCGGGTTGGCTTGGGGATTTGGGTTTAGGATTTGTCTGCGAGTGCGTCCACAGCATCACTTTCTGAAGCCAGTGTTGCAAGCTTTATATAGGGTTTGGCATCGTCATGTCATTCATGCCAACGATTCTGCCGCCTGCCAAGGTGTATATCGTTCCGGCAGCTGCGGCCTAAGTCGGCAAGTGAGACACTGTTCCGACTTGCAGATTAACCCCCAAGCCGTATGCCTTAGCCCCTGAACCCCAAACCCTAAACCCCATGGCTCTCCCCCCCTACACGATACGGGCCTGAAGAGTTACCAATACGATTGCTTGGGATGCTCGTCCTTCTTTGTTATACTACGGCTGATGATATAAATCCTGCTTTACCCATAATAAGGAATATACCACAATTCCCATATATTCCCGATTATGGGTAATGCAGGATTTATATCATCAACCGTATAACTACAGTGATATGACGACGACAGCGAGTTGGTGCCCGTAGCAGCATGTGCTTCGTTCGTGCCAGATTGCCGTGATTTGGCTCTTGCTTTGCGAGGAGAAGCATGTTCAGTATCAAGACTTAGGGGTACTTAGAAGTAAATAGTATGATAATCCCTAAGAAACAGCTAAAATTGTAGTTTTTGTCAGGGTTCTAAGTTCAGTATAGAGGACGAACGTGCTTTAAGGCTTTACTGCCTGCCAGCAGCCTCAAAATGACACCCCAAATTTATGTAGATGCACCAATAGAAAAAAAGGATATCTACGTTCTACACACGCACTCACCCTAGACACCAAGACACTCCGTCACACAGTTCCGCGTGTGTGCACGCCTTGTAGAACCCGTATAGTATTAGTAACCCATTAAGCCTACATGAACAGTGAACCCTACTTGGAGGTTCATGGGTAGTTATAAGTAGGGTTATAAGTCCCCTAATATGGGTTATAAGTATAGCTACCTTAGGTATAACCGTACTTATAACTACGCATGAACCTCCAAGTACTTCATGTCTGCCGGGCTCATAGCAAGTCGAGTCCAAAAGTGGTAAGTATGGGCTTGGGATTCCTCAGCTTCAGTTGTAGAGTATTGGGTTAAGGGAGGGTGAAGACAGGAATGCCTTTACCTTTACAAAACTCTCAGTATGATCTGGCTTGCGTCCCCAAGCTCCTGCAGTAAGTGATAGCCCAATTTTCCCGAGATCTTCAGGAAGTTTGCAAATTTGGTAAGCTCATTTCCTTGCAATAAGAAGTAGCAGTATGAGCTTGACCAAACGGGAAGCCCGAGAAAAATTGGTCGGGCTCTTGAGACCCCTATAGAACCACAGAAATGCTTCAACAACCCTCACAGAAACTGCTTGCAGCCTTGCAGCTAAACAACCCCTACACACGCGCAAGCACACAAACTCCGGAATCATGTCGTTGCAGATCGAATAGTTACTATATAAGTAGTTTTTATTATGCCCTCTGTATTGTGAACGTAGTAACCCCTTAAAGGAAACCTTAAAGGAACCCTGTTCTAATCATTTGGGTGCCTATCCCGTCTTGCCAACAGGTCATTGCCCTGGTCCTGATCGGCTTCTTCATCTTCTCTCGCTAGCACCGGGTGGTAGAGGCCGAATGGAGACTTCAGCAGGAAAGCTGAGTTGCCATGAGTATGTTTAGGGCTTCCCCAGAACCGTAATACCGCAAAGCTCGGAAAGTGTCCAAACCAATTCCTAAACCCTAAACTTACATAGCGTTTTAGGACTTAGAGTGAGCATGAAGCCCTGAAAGATTCATAGTCCACTCTAAACCCTGAGCCTGCAGCGCTCGAAACCTTAAATCCTACGTACCAAAACCCTGCTGGAGTGTGAGTCAACAAGCTACTTGCACCTCAAGCGAGTAAACAGCTGTGAAACTCACGGCTTTGTTCAGCAGTTCAACCAAGACACCCTGCAATGCGGGCTTCGTCCTTGCTAGGTAGGAGGGAAAAAAAACCCTGTAGTGGAGTAGTACCCTTGCGGTACCCGTACAGGAACGACACTTTAAATGGTACACCCCCCCAAGCACTAAATCTGAGGTTTTTGAGTCTAACTTTGGAGTAATTGCTGCAGTATCTCCTGGTAGCAGTTCCTATGTACTTACGCTATACTACCCCGCCCTAAGTCTTCCCTTGAGGCTTCTTGAGCAGCTGAGCACCACTGAGCCTTTAGTCCCAGCTCTGAACCCTTGAAACCCAACCCCACAGTCCCGCAAACCCTACTTGGAGGTTTATGGCTCCTTTAAGGGTCCCTTTAAAGGGATCTATAGGGATTCTAAAAGGGTATAGGTTTTAGGGCCTACTTGGAGGTTCATGGGTAGTTATAAGTGGGGCTATAAGTAGGGTAATGAGACTTATAACCCATATGAGGGGACATATAACTCCAGTTATAGCTACCCGTGATCCTCCAAGTAGAGCCTTCAATACCGCGAACCCTAAAAACTAAACTGGATAGCCGCATACAAGCACTGCCGAACACCCTAGGTTAAGCCTCTAGCCACAGTTGGGCAGGTTTAGGGTTCAGGGTTTAGAGTTTAGGCACCCTAAGTGAAGCCTCTAGCCAGAGTTGGGCAGGTCATCAGTCGCGGCCGGATGGATTTGAAGACCGCCGGGTGGATCAAAAGAGCTTGGAGCTCCTGATGTGCATTATGATTATGATTACGTTTATGACCCTTACTAGTGTTGTTATTATTCAGGCTGCTGTAAGTATTACTCGCATGATGAATACTGCTGTTATTGCTTCGTTTACTACTCATGACTGGTAATACTGATACTGTTATCGTTGTCATTGTCATGGTCATCATCATTATCATTATTGTTGGCACTGCCCGTGTTATTGCCATTGCTGTTACCATTGTGGTTTTTGCGGACAAGTGGTGCTACTATCACTGTCTTTATGGCTATGACCGTGTCTATGCGCATCACCATGACCATGGCTATGACCAGGACTATCACTAGTACTGGTACTGGTACTAGTACCAGTACTGATACTACTACTACTACTACTACTACTACTACTACTACTACTACTACTACTACTACTACTACTACTACTACTACTACTACTACTACTAATGCTACTACTACTACTACTACTAATAATAATAATAATAATAATAATAATGCTACTACTACTACTACTACTACTACTACTACTACTACCGCTACTACCACTACACTACTCCACTACGTCCACTACTACTACTACTACTACTACTACTACTACTACTACTACTACTACTACTACTACTACTACGACTACTATAACACTACTACTGCGACGACGACTACGAGTAGTATTGCCATTGTTATGATCTTTATTATGGTGTTCATGATCTTGGAGAGTCAATGGAGAGCTGCACAAACTGTAATGCCGATGCAGCCATGTAGGCTTTGTTTCTTTTCAGCGCCATGGCACATTTTAGTTTAGCAAGTGATGAAAGCTCTGAAAGCTCAGGGCGGTTTTCTGAGAATGTTCCCAAAGCTCTGTGCCGGGTGCCGAAATCGTATTTGCTGGTCTTCATCACCAATGCTGTGGCCACGGCTGTACTATGGCCTCCGCACGGAAGTCAGTGTGCTCAATGGACACTGGATGATGGCCATGGCTACTTTCGGAAGGAGTGGTGCACCCGTCATTTTGAACTGCACTTCTTCTTTTGTGGGCTGATGCTCTCAGCCTTCGGCACTGGCTGTGTAGCCGCTTTTCTGCTCAGAAGGTTTCACTCCTCGAATCACACGAAATCAGCGTGTGGCTATGCCTTGGTCAACTGGGTTCAAGCCATGTTGGGCTCTTTAGGCATGACGACGGTCATGGACAATGACTGCGGCCATCCTTGGTGCACTTGGCGCACTGTTCTTGTATACTTCAGTGCGCTTCTCTATGTCATTGGTTTCATCTGGATGCAGGTGCTCACCCTTTCTCGATTGGACTTTCTGGAACGGTCTTCCAACCGAAAGTACTGCAGCCGCTGCTTCCGCAGGCTGGTGTGGGTGCAAGTCGTCGGGGCCGTAGCACTTACTCTGACGTGGGGTGGCCTTGTCATCTACACACAGATAGATTCACCTCGGGAGGAGAATCAAAGTCTGATTGCGATCAAGCTTGCGACAATGATGACAATTGTACCGGCTAC